TTCAGCTGATCACTTCCCCCCTGTGTATCAAATATTGATCAACCTCCATAGAGGGCACACAATGCTTACCACGTGGTGTGATCCTGTATTGTTTACATCTCCATGGAGACCTGAGTTCCTCTCTCCATGGCAACAGGACGTCAGTGAATACACCATCCATCCTCCTTTTTCTTCTTTTGTTCCTGTTGTAGTTCTACATATCGGCCAGCAGGGGGCGCAGTGACTACGAGTAATACAGCCTGGGCGATGCATAGCGCAGAGGAGTCACCTTCCATACTCAAACCTCCTACTGATGACATCTCATATCTTTGTTTGGAAACATTTGTATCAAGTTTTAGAAATTAATTTCAGAAACAGAATTGGAAGAATACAATGAAGCAGACAGGATAAGCAGGGGAAGCCTGATAAGAAGATAGGAACATAGTAGGTGAGGTTGAGTAAAGAAAGGGGCTTGCCACTTGCCATATCCCTGTATAGTAACATAGTAGGTAAGGGTGAATAAAGATCCAAGAGAACAGTACAGTAATACAAATGGAGGGTACAGTACTTGGCTACATAAACACCATATATGTGTTCAGTGGAAGTCTCATCTATCTTGTTATTCTCATCTAAAAAATTATTCAGGGGCGTCCCGAGGCGGGGTGTTATGCGGAGCGGGTACCGGGTAACACCCCACTGTAAAGTCATCGTGCATGCATGTAATGTCATTGCGCATGCATGTGATGACGTCACATGCTGTTGCCCGCCGGCAGACATCTTGGTGATGGAATTCTGGACAGAGAGGAGGGGACGTTCATCTGGCGGCATACCTTATCCCCTCCTCTCTCGTGCTACTGTGGGGCTCTCGGTCTATGATCAACTGCCTGACTTTTCAGAGGGGGTGACACCACAATGACTATCAGTCATTGTGGTGTCAATTTATTTAGACAATTAAAAACGCATGTCGTGACCACCGGAAATTCGGACTCCATTTGGGTCTGGGAGCCCCAGTTTTAGTATTATGTATATATAAGTGGTATTCTATAATACGAACAAATATTGGTAGCGGCAACATTGTGACCCGAATATACATAAAACTAAACCTGAGGCTCCCAGACCCGAATGGCATTCCGGAGCTCCCGAATGCAATTCCAAAATTCGTGTTCAGACCCATTCGGATGCATTAAACTGAAAAACACATCTGATCGGCCAGAAAAGTCACATGTCCGATTCAGTTTTGTTTTTTAACGAAATTTGGATGTAATCCAAAATTCGGACACGGAAATTCGGATTCGAACGCATTCGGATTCAAACATTTGGATGTGTCAGAATGTCCTAATTTCGGAAAAATGCGTACACATTTTTAAAACGGAAGAAAACGAATCGCACATGTCTAGTGGTCGGTGCACACCTCTCTCCCCTCCCTCTCTCCCCCTCTCTCTCTCCCCCTCCCTCTCCCCCCTCCCTCTCTCTCCCTCCGCCTTGGTTATGAAATGTCCCTTGGCCTCCTCATGTCACGCCAATAGACCTGCATTAGATGTGATGACACTAGCGGCCCTTAGACTGCCGGAGCCCGGGGGGAAAATTGGATACCTGGGACCGGTCTCGCAGCCAGGCAGGACTGAGGATCATGGGGGTGCATCTACTTTATTTGAGCCCCCTAGAGAAAATGAGCACCTAACCCTTGCAGGTTCTTTTAAATTCCTGGAGTTCTTTAAAGTTGATCTATGAATAGATTATGAACAGACACCATCAGTGCAGTTCTTAGGCAATAAGAACAAAAAAACTTCCGGGGTCATTAGTTGTAAATTTTAAATTTTTGTATCTAGCAATCTTAGACCTAAAATAAGCTTTGTTACTATAGTTGGACAATTCTGTGTTCTTCTATCGTCTTCCTGTCTCTATTCACAGCGCCGTGTTTTCAAAATGCACATGCTTCAATGCGTATGTGTTCCCACACTGTGCAACTTTTACTGCGAGAATGCATTTTATTGTGTCTGTGACTGAACAGTGAATGGAGAAGCAGCACAGTGATGGGCTCCTCTATCTCTTACCCCAAATACCCCCAAATACCAAAATGTAATTGCTGCTTTTTGGCTGGCTGTCAGGCTGCAAAAAATTTACCTACCACAAGAGGGCGCCAAAGGTGTGCTCAGTGTTGCTATCCCTTTATAGTAATTTGTCCTTGAGATTATTGGATTGTGTGCGGCAGCTGCAGTGGGAACCAGACAGACAATGCCATTGCTGATGTGAGTGAAGGCCGCTGGACGAATGGTGCTGTGGACAATGTATGGCGAAAGACTTACCAGTGGTTGTGGAAGTACAAGCAACAGAATATCACAGTGAAAGGAGAGTTCAACGTGAAACCTTTGACTTGCAGCGCCATTAATTGAATGACAGAGAAAAGCCAGCAGCATGCTGGCTAAGTTAAATGAAAAGCATAGGACTTCTGGGTACCCCCACCCCCCACCCCCCAATGACCCCTAAAATCAAGCTTTGTTGTCTGAACATGGTTTCTTGGTTCTGCTGGAGTTATATCTCATTGCCAGAATCACTGAGACACTATGAACCCAAAAGCGCTAGTGTCTAGAGCTCCTGAGCGCACAGAACCCAATGCTTCTGAATGCCCGGTACCCAGCACTTCTTAGCACACAGAACCCAATGCTTCTGAATGCCCAGTACCCAGCACTTCTGAGCACACAGAACCCAATGCTTCTGAATGCCCAGTACCAAGCACTTCTGAGCACACAGAACCCAATGCTTCTGAATGCCCAGTACCAAGCACTTCTGAGCACACAGAACCCAATGCTTCTGAATGCCCAGTGCCCAGCACTTCTGAGTACCCAGTATTCAGATCATCTGAATGCCCAGAACCCAGTGCTCTGAGTGCCCAGATTTTCTGAGTGCTCTGTACCCAGTGCTTCTGAATGCCCATTACCTAGAGCTTCTGAGTACCCAGTATAAAGATCCTCTAAATGCCAAGAACCCAGTGCTCTGAGTGCCCAGTACAAGATACTTTTGAGTGCCCTGTGTCCAGTGCTTCTAAATGCCCAGTACCAATTGCTTCTGCGTGCTCAGTACCCAGCACTTCTGAGTGCCCAGTACCCATTGCTTGTGCGTGCTCAGTACCCAGCACTTCTGAGTGCCCAGTACCCATTGCTTCTGAATGGTCAGTATCCAGCACTTCTGAGTGCCCAGTACCCATTGCTTTTGCGTGCTCAGTACCCAGCACTTCTGAGTGCCCAGTACCCATTGCTTGTGCGTGCTCAGTATCCAGCACTTCTGAGTGCCCAGTACCCAATGCTTCTGAATGCTCAGTATCCAGCACTTCTGAGTGCCCAGTACCCATTGCTTGTGCGTGTTTAGTACCCAGCACTTCTGAGTGCCCAGTACCCATTGCTTCTGCATGCTCAGTATCCAGCACTTCTGAGTGCCTAGTACCTAGTGCTCCTGATCAGGGCCGAAGCTATAGGGGAGCTGGGGGGACATGTGCCCCCAGTGCCGCTTTAGGATGGGTGCCAATGGGTGTGTGGATCGAGATCTTCTCCCATGGGCAACTCTGAGCCTTTTCCCCGGGTGACAGAATGTCTAGCGTCCCCACTGCTCCTGAGTACCCAGTACACCTAGCACTTCTTAATGTCCAGTACCCAGACCCTCTGAATACCCAGTACCCGGTGCTTCTTAGTTCTCATTATCCAGCACTTCAGGGTACAAAGTACCCAGCACTTCTGAGTCCCCCGCATTTCTGAATGCCCAATACCTAACTCTTCTAGGTGCCTGCACACAGCACTTCTGCATGCCCAATATCCAGAGCTTCTGAGTGCCCAGAACCCAGTGCTACTTAATTCCCAGTGACCAGAACTTCTGAGTGCCCTGAAAGTGCCCATTGAGACATTCATAAGCTACTGTTTCCTTTAAATGCTCCTAGCTTGCCTGCGTATCATGCTCATAATTCAGATTCAGAAAGCATTGAAGCCCTAGAATTAGCTTGAAAGACAGGGGAATTGTATTTTCAGAAGGAGCTCTGCAGTGGCATCCTCTG